TAGGATGCTGCAGAAGGAGCCAGCAGCTGAGCCAGACTCTGAGGGTCTCGACCCTGGCAGAATTGATTCCGTTCATCAGAAGGTGTGATGGACAGTCACCGGAATTGATAATTGAAGGGCAGTTTTGATGGACTTACTCTATGACATGAGTTCATGCTACTTAATAAGATCTGCGAGACGATTTGAAAGCTTTTAAATATTTGGAACTTAGTTAACTCAGTCGGGTTTTGTTCTTTCAGTTGTATGTGTGTCCCGTAATCTAGTTATGCTACTATGCGATTATTTGCCATAACACATTACTCAACTGTAAGGATACGAATATTATTTAATAAATGTAGACCAGGGCCACTGAAAATCATTTTGGCCACCTGAAAAAAAGTTAAGGCAAGCCCGGATGGTTACACGCTCATACACAGATCGTGGCAGGAGAGACTGGGATGGTTCAACACATTCATACGGTGGGCAGAGAGACCGTGGTATGTGACACTCATTACACAGAGTGGGCACGGAGAGGAGGTGGATGGGTGTTCAAACTCATAACACAGGGTGGGCAGAGAGACGGGATGGTTGCACACCTCTATTACACAGGTGGCAGCGAGAGATGTTTGGATGTTCACACCTCATTATCAAGGGGTGGGCACGGAGAGACGGTGTGAATGTTCAACACTCTCTACACAGCGTGGATGGAGAGACGTGTATGATTGACACCTCATACACAGGTGGGCAGGAGAAATGTTGATGGTTCACACCTCATACACAGGTGGGCAGGAGAGAGACGTGGATGGTTCACACCTCATACACAGGTGGGCAGGAGAAATGTTGATGGTTCACACCTCATACACAGGTGGGCAGGAGAGACATGGATGATTGACACCCCTACTATGTACGGTAGGTACAGGGTGGCGGGTGCAACTCACCTTGAATCTCTTGTCCTGCAGCACTTTCTTGATGGCGACCTGCTCCCCGCTGCTGCACAGGCGTGCCTGGTAGACGACGCCGAACGAGCCGTTACCGATCACCTTCGTGTCGGTGTAGGAGACCTCTTGCGGCCGGTCGGGCTCCGGCCCCGGCGTCGCCACCACCGTCGTGATCTTACCGCCATCTTTATCTGCAGGGCAAAACACAGGTCGACGTCAGGTGTCGCGCTGGGAGTCAAATGTTTAATGTTGTTAGAACTGGGTAGTCATGGGTCGAAATCATAAGGGGCCCGTGGGCCCGATGCCCGTATGTTAAGGCTCGGGTCACACATTTCTAATACTAGCAAGCCCGACTAGCCCGTAGAAAATCCACCCCCAGCATGCAAAACCGTCCCCGGCACGCTAGCGAGGATGAAAAGTTACCGCAGTATCGCTCACTTGTGTCAAGTTGTGCACAACAGTGACCCGGGTCCTGAGTGTAACCTCCGCTTTGAAACATGGCGATTCTAATCGTTACCAGCGGTCATCTGCACTAATGAGGGGTCCAATTAACTCATTTCCTGCCACATTTACATCAAAATCAGTCCGGCTTTTCCTATCATATCTTCGGTAAATAAACACTGATACAATTTCAGTCTTTTATTTTTTTTAAATGCTACGGTATCTGAGGAATGATGCGGGCCTGTAATTTACCTGGCGGTCCTGTTAGATCCCTTACCTACAGGCCCGGCTGGCCTGTAAATTTTCAAACTAATTTCTACCCCTGGTAGTGCTGCCCTGCGTGCGATCAAGAATTTCGGGAGACCGCAGTCAAGTTCGAGGGGCAGTAACGCAGTGTCTATGAGGGAAGGACACTAACGCAATGTTCCTTTTAAGGAAGAATACTAACGCAATGTTCCTTTGAAAAAAGAACACTACAGCAATGTTCCTTCGAAGGAAGCACACTATGGCAATGTTCATTCGAGGAAAGCGCACTAGAAGACAATGTTCCTTCGAGGGAAGGTCACCAAGGCAATGTTCCTTCAAGGGAAGGTCACCAAGGCAACGTTCCTTCGAGCGAGGGTCACCAAGACAATGTTCCTTCGAGGGAAGGTCACCAAGGCAATGTTCCTTCAAGGGAAGGTCACCAAGGCAACGTTCCTTCGAGCGAGGGTCACCAAGACAATGTTCCTTCGAGGGAAGAACACTAAGGCAATGCTCCTTCAAAACAAGTGCCGCGGAGCGACAGCGCTCATCTAACGTCTACTGCGGTGAATCTGCTCCAGTGCGTGCGTGCGTCGCGTCGAGCGTGGCGTCCGCTGCGTCAACAGTTGGGCACAAATCTTAATCCGCGCTCGACGTACGGTCACGATATTCGGGAGACCACCGCACGACCCCGACGCTGTCGGGAGGGGATCGTCAAAACGAGTTGGGATGTCGAAAGCTGGGAGTCAAAGGTCAAATGGTCAGAGGTGTAAAAGAAGGGCGAACATTCGCCTCCTTATACTTAAGGTATAGGGAGGAAAATGCAGAATTGGGCGGCATACAAATCTAAATGGCTCGACATAGCGCTCCGTGATACGTCGCGTGTATAGCATACAATGGTAGGAAAAAGCCATCACTGCTGCCGAAATTGGAGGTCACAGGTCAAATGTCAATGGGCCACAGGGCAGATTTTAGACATTTTTCTAGAACATGGTCTGACGGAGGGCGATTGAAAACTTTTTTGTTTAGAGCCGGTGACCTAGGCATTTTTATGGCTTTATTGAATAGGACGCATGAATGTAGCCTTCTGCTGACATGAGCGAAGAGTAAGTGTGGATAACTTTTGACCTCAAGAGGATGAGGTCTTAAACATGGATTGTTTACTGTCTGTTAGAAGCAATTTGACTGCCGGGTCTTTGCTAGTAGAAATCTATACATGCCTGGATGTAATGAGGGCTACAATGTCACAAGTGAAATTTACAAAAGCTAAATTTAGGTGGAAAGATAGGTTTATGCTCTTTAAGATCGTATAATTTCTATGGCATTCTGTAACTGTCCAGTATGTTACATGTAACGTATGCCACTGCCAGTGGCCACTGCCAGTGCATAGCTGTGTGGTACTGCTGTAGTTCTTTGCCTGCGTTAATTGGTATAGCAGGTGGCCAGCCTCTCTATTGCAGCCTGTAGGCTTGGCTAGGTAAATGGATGAGTGCTTACTATTACTGGTCTTTGCAAATAGTTGTTGCTTACACGTAATCGGATGGAGCTCCGATCTTTAATCTGAGACACTTAAACGTACGCGCGCATCAGGTCGTGGACCAACTTTCATAACGATCCCAACGAACAAATTTCCTATGAAGAAGGTTCCGAATACCATCCCTGTGCATTTCCACTGTTTTTGGCGTGTATGTGAACACATTTGGGACTAACAAGGTTCTACTAGAATCCCACCACTCTACCGACAGAATTTCACCGGCAGTAGACGTTTAGTTGCGCTGTCGCTCGCGGCACCTATGTTTTGAAGAGCATTGCCTAGTGTTCTTCTCGAAAGAAACATTGTCTTTGGTGACCATCGCTCGAAGCAACGTTGCCTTTGGTGACCTTCCTTGACAGGAACATTGCCTTTGGTGACCTTCCTCGAGGAACATTGTCTTCATTAGTGCGCCTTTCCTCGAATGAAACCATTGCCATTATGTGTGCTTCCTTCGAAGGAAGCATTTGCTGTAGTGTTCTTTTTCAAAAGCGACAATTCGCTTAGTATTTCTTCCTTAAAAGGGAACATTGCGTTTGAGTGTCCTTCCCTCATAGACCACTGCGTTACTGACCCGCTCGGAACTTGACTGACGGTCTCCCAAATTCTATCGCACGCAGGCGGCAAGCATCTACCAGCGGTAGAAATTTAGTTTGGAAAATTATACAGCCAGCCGGCGCTGTTAGGTAAGGGATCTAACAGGACGCGCCAGCGTAAATTACAGGCCCCCGCTATCAATTCCTTCAGATACCGTAGCATTTAAAAAAATAAATAGACTGAAATTGTATCAGATGTTTATTTACGGAAGATATGATAGGAAAAAGCCGGACTGATTTTGATGTAAAATGTGCCAGGGAAATGAGTTAATTGGACCCCTCATAGTGCAGATGACCGCTGGTAACGGATTAGAATCGCCATGTTGTCAAAGCGGAGGTTACACTCATGGACCCGGGTCACTGTTTGTACACAAGCTTGACACAAACGTTGAGCGATACTGCGGTAAACTTTTCATCCTCGCTTAGCGTGCCGGTGGACGGTTTGCATGGCTGGGGCGGTGTGGCATTGTTCTACGGGGCTAGTCGGGCTTGCTAAGTATTAGATAATGTGTGACCCCAGCCTTAATCATACGGGCAATCGGCCACGGCCCCTTATGATTATCGACCCATGACATAGCCCAGTTCTAACAACATTAAACATTTGACTCCCCAGTGCGCGACACCTGACTCGACCTGCTGTTTTGCCCTGCAGATAAAGAATGGGCGGTAAGCAATGCACGACGGTGGCTGGCGAACGCCGGGAGCCAGGAGCCGACGCCGGCCGGCAAGAGTCTCCCTTACACCGACACGAAGGTGAATCGAACGGCTCGTTTCGCGAGCGTCGTCTACCCAGGGCACGCCTGCTGCAAGCAGCGGGAGGCCAGGTCGGCCATCAAGAAGTGCTGCAGGACAAGAGATTCAAGGTGATTGGCACCCGCCAACCATGTAACCTTACCGTACAATAGTTAGGCGGGTGTCATGCATACACGTCTCTCCTGACCACCTGTGGTATGCAGGTGTGAATCGTACCACAATCTCTCTCTGCCCGCACCTGTGATAATGAGTCTCAATCATACACGATCTCTCCTGCGCCACCTGTGTGATGCATGGTCGTGAACCATCACACGTCTCTCCTGCCACCTGTGTATTGAGGTGTGAACCATCAACATTTCTCCTGCCCACCTAGTTTGTATGAGGTGTGAACCATCTCCACGTCTCCCTACCCCACCATAGTTGTATGAGGTGTGAACGCATCAACATTCTCCTGCCACCTTGTGTATGAAGGTGTGAACCATCCCACGTCTTCTCCTCTCACCTGTTGTATGAGGTTGTGAACCACCCATCATGTCTCCTCCTGCCACGCTGTGTATGAGGTGCTGATACCATCCAACAATTTCTCCTGCCGCAACCTGTGTATTGAGTGTGAACCATGCCACGTCTCTCCTCTGCCCCACCTGTGTATTAAGAAGGTGTGAACCATCAAACATTTCTCCCTGCGCACCTGTGTTATAGAGGTTTGTGATAATCCATCACCGCGTTCTCTCCCTGCTCACCTGTAGTATTGAGGTGCTGAACGCACCGCCATTCCATTGTCTTCTCCTGCCCACCTGTGTATGAAGGTGCTGAAACCATCAACATTTTCTCCTGGCCACCGTGTATGAGGTGTAACCAATCCACGTCTCTCCTGCCCACCTTACTGTGTATGAGGTGTGGAAACATCCATGGCGTCTGCTCCTGCCACCTGTGTATGAGGTGTTGAACCATCACATTCTCTCCGCCTCGCCACCTCGCTGTATGAGGTGTGAACCATCCACGTCTCTCCTGCTCACCTGTGTATGAGGTGTGAACCACCCATCCATGTCTCTCCTGCCCACCTGTGTATGAGGTGTGAACCATCAACATTTCTCCTGCCCCACCTGTGTATGAGGTGTGAACATCCATCCACGTCTCTCCTGCCACACCTGTGTATGCGTGTGAACCAACCCATCCACTTCTCCTGCACCACGCTGTGTATCAGGTGTGTAACCATCCACGTCTCTCTGCCCACTGTGTAATGAGGTGCTAAACCATCCATCGACGTCCTACTCCGCCCACTGTGTATGAGGTGATGAACCATCCACGTCTCTCCTGCTCACCTGTGTATGAAGCGTTGTGAACCATCAGGGCTTGCCCCGTGAAACTTTTTTTTCCAGGTGGCCAAATGGATTTTTCGGGTGGCCGGTTGCCCTACATTAATTAAATAATTTATTTGTATCCTTACTATGAGTAATGTGTTTTGCGCAAATAATCGCAATAGCATTAAGCTAGATTACGACAACAACAACGAAAGAACAAACCCTGACGAGTTAAATAAGTTTCCGAAATATTTAAAAGCTTTCAAATCCTCTTGCAGTATCTTGTATTACAGTAGCAGAACTCATGTCATTAAGAAGTTCAATCA